GGCTGAATTTGCACTTCTCTTCCCGTGAGGCAGAGCAACTTGACACATGATTGGACTCTTTGGTGTTCCTTTGCCATAAACTCTGTGTTCATAAACAGGCCTGAAGTGTTGTGGTAAATTCCCTAATGCTGTTCCCATTGGACTTCCCCTGCCATATTGCTTGACCTGGTAGATGTTCTGTTAATACTTCAGGAAGGACCGTTTCAGAAGGGAGGACTGAGTGACTGACATTTCCTTTGCAGCCAGTCCTTCCAGGGAGCTCTGGCTTTCTGCCACTGTCTGCGCCTTTGTCTCTCTTGCCCCATTACCGCTCAGTGTCATCAAGAGATACCATTTTATTCATTCATAAACTCTCTACTGAGCGCCCACTGTTTTCCTGGCATGCACAGAGACCTTTTATAATGGTGATCGGCATGGAGTGGCCACCATCCACAGATGTCTATCTGTGGATGTACTCACTGAATTCCAGCGGCACCCGTGACATTTGTCCAGCAGAATTTGTCAAACGCATGAACCAAAGGTTAATATTCTGTCCCAGAGATGGAGATAATTGACAGCCTAAGGGAACGTGTCAGTCTTTTATTATTTATTTATTTAGAGTCAGGGTCTCGCTCTGTCACCCAGGCTGGAGTACAGTGGCATGCTCGCAGCTCACCTCAGGCAGTTATAACCTCATAAGCTCAGGTGATCTGATCTTTCCACCTCAGTCTCTCGAGTAGCTGGAACTATAGGCACACGCCATCACTCTCAGATACTTTGTTTTTACATTTGTTGTAGAGATAAGGTCTCAATATGTTACCCATGCTGGTCTTGAACTCCTGGGCTCAAGAGATTCTCCTGCTTTGGCCTCCCAAAGTGCTGGGATTACAGTTGTGAGCCACTGTGCTGGGCCTAAGTCTTTTAAAAAATTGAGATTTAAGTTCGCATAACACTGACCATTTTAAAGTGTATAGTTCAGTGGCATTTAGTACATTCATAGTGTTGTGCTGCCTTAACCTCTATCTAATTTCAAAACATTTTTATCATTACAGAAAGAAACACTATGCCTATTTTTTTTTTTTTTGAGTCAGGATCTCACTCTGTTGCCCAGGCTGGAGTACAGTGGCAGAATCATGGCTCACCACAGCCTCAGTCCACCAGGGCTCAGGTGGTCCTTTCGCCTCAGCCTCCCTAGTAGCTTGGACTAAAGACACATGCTACCGCATCCCATTAAGTAAGTAATTTATTTTTGTAGAGACGAGGTCTCGCTATGTTGCTCAGGCTGGTCTTGAATTCCTGGGCCCAAGCGATCCTCCCACCTCGGCCTCTCGAAGTGCTGGGATTATAGGCGTGAACCACCGTGCCCAACCAGGAAAATCTATACCTGTTAAACCCTATGCCAGTGACTCCCCATTCCCTTGAAGGCCTCCCCTCCCCCCAGTCCTGGGCAAGCACTGATCTCCTTTCTGTCTCTATGGAGTTGCCTGTTCTAAACATTTTGTTTTATTTATTTATTTTTGAGTTGGGGTCTTACTCTGTCGCCCCGGCTGGAGTGCAGTGGCATGCTCACAGCCACCGCAGCCTCGACCTACTGGACTCAGGCAATCCTTCTGCCTCAGCCTTCCAAATAGCTGGAACTATAGGCATGTACTGCCACACCCGGCTAATTTTTTGATTTATCGTAGAGATGAGGTCTCATCACCAAGATGTCCAGGCTTGTCTTGTACCCCTGAGCTCAGGCAGTCCTTTCACCTCTACCTCCCAAAGTACTGGGATCACAGGCTTGAGCCACCATGCCCAGCTAAACATTTTATAGAAACAGAATCATACCTGTGTGACCTTTTGTGACTGGTTTCTTTCACTTAGCATGTTTTCGAGGTCCATTTATGTTGTAGCACGTATTAGTCTTTCATTCCTTTTTAGGGCTGAATACTATTCTACTGTGTGGATAGACCATAATTTGTTTTTCCATCATCCAGTGATGGACACATAGGTTGTTTCCTCCTCCTGGCTATCATGGATAATGCTGTCTGGCATAGACCATGGGTGGAATTGCTGGTCATATGGTAATTCCCTTACTTTTTGAGGAGCCACTAAGCTATGGGATATCAACCTATTTTTTTTTTTTTTTTTTTTTTTGCGCTGGAGCCTTTCTCTGCCACTCAGGCTGGAGTGTAGTGGCATGCTTACAGCTCACCGCAGCCTCAACCTGCTGGGCTCAGGCAGTCCTTTCTCAACCTTCCAACTAACAGGAACTACAGGCTCACACCACCACACCCAGCTAAATTTGTGATTTATCTGTAGAGACAAGGTCTTGCGAAGCTGCCTGGGCTGGTCTCGAACCCCTGGGCTCAGGCAGTCCTCTTGCCTCTGCCTCCCAAAGTGCTGGGATAACAGGCATGAGCCATTGTGCCTTACCCTTATCCTGGTCTCAATCTTTTTTTTTTTTTAGTTGGAGTCTCACTCTGTCGCCCAGAGTGGAGTGCAGTGGCTGCTCCCGGCCACCGCAGCCTCGACCTGCTGGGCTCCGGCGATTCTTCCACCTCAGCCTTCCAAGTAGCTGGAACTATAGGCACGTGCTACCACGCCCGGCTGAATTTTGATTTATTGTAGAGATGAGGTCTTGCCAAGTTGCCCAGGTGGGTCTCGAACCCGCGGGCTCAGGCAATTCACTCACCTCAGCCTCCCAAGGCATGGGATTACAGGCTGAGCCACCGAGCCCGGCTGGTCTCAATATTTTAAAATTCATGTTTTGCCTTCTGTCTGACAGGCACCAGCCAGAAAGACCCAGTTGGGGGCTGAACTAGGGAAGCATTACAGACAGGACCAGCTCCATTGGCTCACACACTCCAGTGACTGTTCCTCCTCTAATGAGACCTCTGAACCCCCCTCACTTGCAAAACACTGGCTAAAGACCAGACCAGGAGTCTGGACTGCTGTTTCGTGGACTTTTCATTAGGAGACCTTGGACAAATTCCTTTTCCTCTCTAAATGGGGGTAAAACAGCAAACCAGCGACCTTCGGTGCTTGTGAGATTATGCTGGTACGTGGAAGATATTTTGTAAACTGAAAAGTGCTGTCTGAATCATTGCCGTTATGAGGTGATGCATCCCAGAGGTCGTCACGCGGAAGATTTGGCCTGTCCAGCATTTTACAGCATTTGAAATAATTGCTGGCCGGGTTAGTGGCTCAGTTTGTAACCCCAGCACTTTGGGGGGCCGAGGCGAGTGGATTGCTTTGAGCCCGCATGTTCGAGACCAGTCCGGGCAACTTGGCGAGGCTTCGTCTCTACAATAAATAAAAAATTAGCTGGGCGTAGTAGCACACGCCTGTAGTTCCCACTACTTAGAAGGCTGAGGAGCAGGGCTTGGTGGCTCAGCCTGTAATCCCACGCTTTGGGAGGCCGAGGTGAGTGGATTGCCTGAGCCCGCGGGTTCGA